ATAATGTTTCAAAAAAAAAATTTTGGGGGCAACCCCCATGGGCCCCTCACACCCCTTCAACTCTGAGACCCCCCTACGTCGACGGGCTAGCTTCGCCCCTGGGTTTAGTTCACCTTGGGCCAAGCTGGCCTAACACAAATTCATCACTTTTGTTGCCTATAATTATCTTTATTCGTGGGTTTGTTTGATAAAGATATTTTTTGTAAAACGATATTCAAACTTCATTTTTAATCACACACTTCATTCTAACAACAATTTCTATTTTATTTTTAACCACATATTTCATAGAACTCATCAACTTTAATAAACTTTATTTGCTAAAAATGGACATCAAAGATGCACTTATTCACACATTTCTGATGCAACTATAAAATAAGAAACCTAATTGCCCTACAAATCCTAGACCTAACTGCATTCCAAATCCTTTTCCTTATATAATAATGCCTACTGAATCCTTCTTTTCTTCATTTTGTGATTACAATAACTTACAAGGAAACATTATATTATATGGTCACTTTCCTTTTCCTTGCCAAACAAAGAATTCTATTTTTTCATTCTATAATAAAACTCTCTCGTTTCATAAATTTAGGTCAAGCCCAACAAATGTGAGAATTATGTTCACTTACCACTGAAAATTGTATAACGTTGACATACCAATTTGTCTCATTGAAAAACGTCTCCTAAAAAATTCTTTATATATACACATAATATTAGGTTGATGTATTATATATGTTGAATTCTCAATGTGCCCACGAACCCAAATTACACTAAGAAAGATTCCGGTGTGACACGGTCATTAATATCATGGAGAATGACTGAAAATGCTGCCATAAAATTGTTTCATCGTGCTGGCGCTCACGCGACATATACAAGAATCCATAAAAACTTTGTACTAAAATAGGGAAGCAACTCGCAAGTACTAAATTAACAATTTTAATTTTGCATACTATATATTATAGCACACCAAATTTCATCAAAATGCATATAGCATCAAGGGCAGTCAGCCTCGGACTTTTCAAGACTGACTGCTCATGATGTTATATCATTTTTATGAAATAAATTCGTGTGTACCATAATAAATTATTTATCGAAAATTTCCTCCAAGTGCAGGAGGAGCCCAATAATCTGCTCCATTAAAGTCACTACCAACATGGAGAGTGCAGGATAAGGGAACTAGGCACAACCCTCTACTCCTCAAATCCTTTGGCTCTTCACGACAATCCTAGCAAAAATGTCGACAAAAATATTATTACGTGAATCATTTTTAAACATGACGAGAGTAGACAGAATCGCCAACAAGAATATTTTAGTACCTGCTCAGATGTTCCTTTCATCTTTATGCAGTTTTCATTCAACAGCTACAGAAGAGATTGTCAAAAGTTATGCTGAATTAGTAATTTTTCCTTATCATATTTTAGGTTTAAAGGTTCTTTCTTCATTTTTCGTTGTGGAAAAGGGAGACAATAAATACATAACTTAATGAAGAAAATGAGCAACTTTCCTAAGTTCTTTTGAGATGGTAATGGATCCAGTAAAGCATACCTGCCCAGGGTCTTCAGGAAATAAACAATTCCTCTCTCCTCGAAACTGAAAATAATTAATTATCAGTAATCAATAAAGCATACTTAATTTAGAATTATATTCATTAGCACATGCATCAACATCACATACTCTTGAAAATTATGGTTGGGTTCCAAACCTTCCTTTCGGTCATATGGGGATCAAGATTTACATATTTAAATAAATATGATGTCTAAAAATCTCACCTTTATAAATCAGGATTCGTAATTGCACTACGTGAAAGATTGGGAAGCTCGAGACTAATTTTTCATATATATATATATATATCATGTTGTACAATATCAGTTGACAACTTTATACTTGACAGTATCATATTCATCAATTTTAAAAACTGTAAAAATTTGTTTTTTAAATCAACGATCCGAATTTTGATAACATCAAATTTGTAAATAATAGTTTTCAATAAGAATTGTACAAATAGCTTAATTGTATGTTTATGTATATAGATAGAGAGAAGGATTGTTACAGGGTACTGCTGCCTCAGATTTCCTGACTTAATACCCAAGTACGGCAAGCTTAGGGCCTGCATTCAAGGGGGAAAAAGAATATAAGAAAAATTCAACTGTGGTCAATGTGACATCACATGTTCATGGGAGTTAGCAAAATTGAATGAGGATATTAAGAAACGTCACCTCAATTTGGCTCTGAAGGAATCTGATGTATCCAATTGCTTCGAACAACACAGAGGCTGTGTCAGTCTGCATTATAATAAACAAATTAGAATAATAATAATTTTCCATAGTAATATCATGTTTTGTCGTGAAATGCTACATGTCCAAGTTGTTTTGACAGATTGGTTTACAAGATGTCAGCTCGCCAGATTTTATAGAGTTTGGATAAAAAAATTAAATCAACCAATTAAATTCTGTCATCTCATCACCCATAGCCTGTAACACTTTCGTGTTTTCTCTATCTAATTTTAACCTCGAGAAGGGATGTTCAATCTTTTATTTTTCTTTAATCATGTCGAGTATTATCGAGTATTGTTTAATATTTCAAACAATGAGACATATCATGAAAGAAATATCTCGGAGTAAACCTAAAATGATAAAGAAAGAAAAGGAGAAGGAAAAGGAGAAGAGAATTATTTTGCAAGGAACCTTTTATAGGGTTTCTTTTTTAAATGGTATAAAAACATTAATTTCATAATTATGCCCTAGTTCTTGTTATTAATTAGTAAATGTAATAATTTACCTTGCCAAACGGGGAAACTAACTGGTGAAGGGCTGTTATTCTGTCTCCCAATTTCTCTTTTCTCACCTGCGTTTTAAAGTACAAAACCCATAAAGTGGATCAAATGAAATGACAACCTGTTCAAAGTAATTATTTCACTTAAGACTTATTTGTATTTCTCTTGTGTGGACTATACAAGAGATAGTAAAAGAATCAACATTTCTCAATAAAAGGACAACCAAAAGAGACGACAACAATATTCCAATATTGAAAGGTTTGAGAGTCGAAACTAAGGGTGTATTTGAGCAGTATTAGTTTGGAAGAATGTATTCTGGAATAGTAGTTTGATGGAGAATT